CAGATTCCGGGGGCCATTTTTCGAAAAAATCGACTTTTGAGCCTGTTCTATTGCAGTTAGCGCATGATTCAAATCAAAATTAAATATCAATTCCTAGATAACTCGACGAGGGCTACAAGACTAGCATGCTTAAATCTTGCCAGAAAAAAGTTCTGTAAAAAGTGGGCGGAGCTGCATGGACGTACCCATACAATATTGAGTATGTGACTGAATTACTGAGAAAATTTCAATAAAGTAAATAATAATGATACTAGTTTATCTAATATAACAACGATATGTTCACAAGCAAATGAATAACTAGCTACTTTATTGAAGAATTTGAATGATTTTGTGAATAACAGTCATGAACAAAATGAACAACAGCCATTTGTTCTTGCATTTCTTGAAAGTATCATAAAGAATCTAAGTCGATCTAAAAACAATTACAAATACAATGAATATGTCCAACGATTTGCAACAGCACTGTATGTACTAGCTGGTAGCAATACGTACGAACTTATACGTATTAATTTACCTGGTGCTTTACCATCTATTAGTGCTCTGGAGCACTATAATAAAAATATTGATCTAAAAATGAATGAGTGTCACTTTCGTTTTGATCGATTGACAGAACATCTTGATACAATTAATTCGAAGTTTGTATTTTTATCCGAAGATTGTAGTAGTGTGGTCAGTAAAATATCGTACGATGAATAGGAATTCCTTTGTTGGTTTTATACCTTCTCATCACAAGGGAATACCACAAACTTCTTCTTACCAAACCGATGACTTTCAACAACTACAAGAACGGTTTATGACAATCGATAAATCATCACTAATCAACGTTCACATGGTGGAGCCGTTGTTGCCGTCCTTAACAACCACGACAGTAACAATGCCTACACAATCATCTAAATCAAGGCCATTTCTTTTAGCTGCTTATGGGACAGATACTAAGTCAATCGCCATCGATATACTTCGTCGATGGATCTACATTTATGAACGATGTAAATTGAATGATATACGTATAATTGGTTACTCAGCTGATTGTGCTGGTAAATATTTGAAAGCGATGCGACTTACAAACGAGTCTTTTAGTCGTTTACCAAATATCAATCTGATTGATATTTACCATAATGATCTGTTTGAAATTGATCTACCACATAAATGGAAAACATGGTTTTATCTGAGACCAAAACAATTGTTTCTTTGCTTTCAAGATGGAATACATTTGGCAAAAAAAATTCGTAATCGTTTATTATCTAAACATGCACAATTATTTATAGGAAAGCAGTCTGTTGATTGATATTAAACATCTCAGTAATTTGATTGAAAATTATTCAAAATTGGACCATAATCGCGTGCTACAATTATGCCTCATTAAAAAAGGTTGGTTAATTTTAGAGTTTCTGAAAAACTGGTTTTCCAGAAAAACGGGTATCTGAAGGTCTAGCGGCAAAAACCGTTATCATATTTAGATTCAGCATACTCGATTACCTATTGTCCACTAGGTTTTAAACCAAAAGCGATTTATCAGTTGGTGGCCTTTCCTCATGAGTTATTCTTTACTGTTTTGTTCGATATGCGACGTATCTTCATACTGGCTATAGACTTACAATGTTTATTTTTTTCTCTGATTAGTTCAAGTCAGAATCGATTGTGAATTCTCTGTTATTCTCTGACTAGTTTAGGTCACCACCTAGGTTAGGTAACGTTAAGGTAAGACATGATTTTGTATGCAAAAACTAGGCTTGAAAAAATCTCAAAGTTCGGCATTTCGGAAATTAAAGTACCAATCTATTCATTATTATGCATAGACATTTACTGCGAAGTGTCTTCTACGAAATGAGGTCTGAGTGACCTTTTTGTTTTTCTTGGTTTTTCAGCGGATACTGTTTTTCCCGAACCACCAAGATTGGACTTTCTTCCGGTCTGACAATCTCAAAAGCACAGAGATTGCCATTATCATATTTGGATTCAGCATACTCGATTACCTATTGTCCACTAGGTTTTAAGTCAAAAGCGATTTATCAGTTGGTGACCTTTCCTCGTCAGTTCGCCGCGAATGCGAATTGTCCGTGATCTCGAGTTGCATTGCAACTTCGAGAGTTTGGCAATCGAAGAATGTATTCCAAGTTGCAAGCCCAGTGCAAATCGAGAATGTTGTGGGAAGTTGAGAAGTTTGAGAAATTTGATAATTTTATAGGAGTATTGCCGATCGAGAAATGTATTCCAAGAATTTCGAGATTTTTGAGAGTTCTAGTGTAAATCAAGAATTTTATAAATCGGGATTCGTATTGCACGTTGAGAATTTAAGAATTTTTAGAACAGTAGTGCAAACCAAGCAAGTTGCAAATCGAAAGTTGCATTCCAAGTTGAGAGTTTTGGCAATTTTGACAGTTTTGATAATTCTAGCGCAAATCAAGAATTGTGTTGCAAGTGGAAAATTTTGAGAATTCTTGCGAAAATCGACAGTTTTGAGAATACTTTTGCATATCACGTGTTCTGTCTTACATATTTTGCTTAGCCTAGAGTAGCCTGGGATAATTATGAACAGGTTATAAAAAAGTTTCTTAGTATTCTTGAAGCTTTGCAGCTATTTTTCACCGGCAAATAGGGATATTTTACAGGTAGGTTGAGCTATAAGATTCCTACTTCTTTACGCTTTCCATTAGAACAAAGTCTTGCGAATCTCATAGTAAAAGTTATCTTTTCGACAAAATAAATATGTTATTCGGAAAAACAGCATCGTTCTTAACACTGCAGTTGATTTAAACTTTTATTTATTTGAGTGAGTTCAATCGCATAGAAACGTATTATAGCGCTTACTGGCAAAAAAAGAACGAGAAAACACTTCAGTTTTTAAACACGTGTAGCCCGTGACTATTTGGGACATACTTTGTTTCAAACCTATGTCTTGATTTCCTACTAACACCCACTAAAACCCAAAAATCTCCCAAATTAAAAACTAAGATAGCCAATCAATAGAGCTCGTCAAGATAATTATACTAACACCCAAAACAATCATTAATATCTCCGCTTTTTAGCCATTTTTACAAATAAACACCCACTAACACCCAAAAAAGTATGCCAAGTTGATCTACATGAATCTCTGAGTCGACTGGTACGATATTTGATCGAAGAAAACATTTTAGTGGTTTTTTGACATAAGTTTTAAAAAAGTTAATT